ACCGTTTTCCGCCTCACATGCCCCGTACACTTCACAGCAGAACAGTCGAGCCCAACGCGTCTTTCGAACATTGAATGACTGCGTTCGCACGCTCCTGTTTCATGCCAATGTGCCGCCTCGTTTCTGGCCGGACGCACTCGCCACTGCATCACTTCTTCTTAACATTAGACCCTGCAGCCCACAGTGGAACTACACACCTCACCATCTTCTCTTTGGTACACCCCTGTCTTATGACGACTTGCGTATTTATGGGTGCCTTGGCTATCCCAGCACTGCCGACACTGCTTCTCACAAGCTTGCACCTCGATCTATCGCTTGCATCTTCATCGGCTACCCCTCTAACTCCAAGGGATATCGGTGCTATGATCCTGTCTCCCACCATGTGTTCACTTCCCGGCACGTTTACTTTGATGAGCATGTGTTTCCGTTTCACCAGGTACCCCCGGCTGTTCCTCCCGCCACCGATGACGCGGGCTCCTCGACACCTCTCCCAGGGCGCTCACGCGCCTCTCTTGGCCCGCCCTGGCTTTGAGGCGCCCCCCCCGCATGCGGCACCTCCTACAGCCGCGGCGCCGGTGCCCCTGGCGCCCCCGACGTTGTTGCCCACGGCCCCCGCGGCTCGAAGGCGCCCCCGGCCCCCTCGGCACCCTCAGTGCCCCCGGTGCCCGCGGACCCCCGGCGCCTGTGGTCGGTCCGGTCACCCGTGCCCGTACGGGCAATTTCGCCCGAGATCGCGCTACGCCTCGGATGACTATGTCCATGCGGCGTCCACCTCTGAGCCGTCGTCGTTGCCGTCCTCCGTTCGAGCCGCTCTTCGTGACCCAGTCTGGATGGCTGCGATGCAAGAGGAGTTTGATGCCCTGTTGCGCAACCGGACATGGCAGCTTGTTCCCCGTCCCCGGCACGTCAACGTGATTACCGGGAACTGGGTCTTTAAACACAAGCTCCGTCCTGATGGTACCCTTGATTTCTACAAAGCATGCTGGGTCATTCGTGGCTTCCGACAGCGTGTTGGCATCGACTTCACCGACACCTTCGCTTCGGTTGTCAAGCCCGGCAGGATACACACGGTTCTCCACCTTGCGGTCTCCCGTTCTTAGCCGGTGCACCAGATGGACGTCTCTAACGCCTTCCTTCATGGTCACCTCGAGGAGAAGGTCTTCTGCCAGCAGCCCACCGGGTTTGTTGACCCGGCACTTCCCGACCACGTGTGCCTGCTTTCGAGGTCCTTATACGGACTCAAGCAGGCTCCGCGCGCTTGGTACCATCGCATCACGGCGTTTCTCCACCAGCTTGGGTTCCGCTCTACCCGCTCGGACGCCTCGCTCTTCGTCTATCATCAGGGTTCCGACACGGCCTACTTGCTGCTCTATGTCGACGACATCATCATGACGGCATGTACGGCTAGTCTCCTCAGTCAGCTCACGGCTCGTCTTCGCGCTGAGTTCGCCATCAAGGACTTGGGTCCTTTGCACTACTTCCTCGGTATCGAGGTGGTGCGCCGTCCTGATGGCTTCTTCCTTCATCAGCGGAAGTACGCTCATGAGCTCCTGGTGCGCGCCGGCATGCTTAACTGCAAGCCCGCCGCTACGCCTGTTGATACGAAGGCCAAGCTTTCTGCCACAGATGATTCTCCTGCTTTGGATGCTGCTTTCTATCGGTCTATCGTTGGTGCTCTTCAGTACCTCACTTTGACTCGACCGGAGATCCAGTATGCCATGCAGCAGGTGTGTCCTCATATGCATGCTCCTCGAGACGTTCACTTGGCGGCGGTCAAGCGGATTCTCCGCTATGTCTGTGGCACTATGGATCTTGGCATCATGCTTCATGTCTCTGCCGACACCGCCCTCACCGCCTACTCCGTTGCAGACTGGACGGGCTGCCTTGACACTCGTCGCTCCACCTCGGGCTATTGTGTCTACCTTGAACCCTCACTTATCTCGTGGTCGTCCAAGCAGCAGCCTACGGTCTCTCGTTCTAGTGCTGAGGCTGAGTATCGCACGGTGGCCAATGCCATCACTGAGTGTTCGTGGCTTCGCCAGCTGCTTCAGGAGCTTTTTTGCCCTGTTGACCGTGCCACGGTGGTCTACTGCGACAACGTCACGGCGGTCTACCTCTCCGCTAACCTGGTGCATCATCGACGAACCAAGCATATTGAGTTGGATATTCATTTTGTTCTGGAACAGGTGACCCTTTGCCATATTCGTGTTTTACACATTCCTACTTCCCAACAATTTGCAGATATCATGACCAAGGGCTTGCCTACGGCGTCATTTGAGGAGTTCCGGTCCAGTCTTTGCGTCAGCCACGGTGCCGGTTCGACTGCGGGGTGGGGGGGAGGGGGGTGTTGTTGAGTATATGTGTTATGTGCATATTGTGTATTGGCCTGCCTCCTAGTTCCTTGTATAGTTGAGGTCCGTGGCCCATCTTTGTACATCATATATATATGCCTATGCACAAAGAGCCATACATCGTGCAATTCACATATTCTACAAAAGATGCACATCATCTAATTGATCTTACTCACGCCGATGAGGACGGTGTCCGACAGGGTAATAGTGAGATGAAGATTGACGAGTGCATCTGGTGGTTAGATCTTCACTGTGGCAGAGTAGGTACTCTCTCCATTTTGAATATATGGTGTCAACATAAGATAATTAGATCAAAAGGTCTGTATGCCCGTTTGCATGATTCAACTAACTTGATTTTTTTAGAAAAGAAAAATGTGTCCAACTAATTTTTTACATTATTCACAACATAAATGCTTATCGGAATTAAAATAAAATCAGTAGTATATACTAAAAAAGATAATCAAAACCATAGTCTATTATTACTTCTCCATCCATTTTTAACAGAGGCATATAAGGAAGACAGTCCTTATATCATCACGCTGCAACAGAGATCAAAATCGCAGTTAATTAACTCCCTAAAAATGACGCGCATAGAAAACGATTTTTCTTTCCTCAGAATTAAATAGTTATGTGTACACCAAATAGCCCACGTCAGAGCTTGAAGTCCAGAAAGATCAATTTTTTTTCATTCTTTTATATATGATCTATTGATTGGTGGGGTTAACCGGGGGCTCCTATATACAATTTGTGGAAGCTGGTTAACCAACATAATTTTAAAGCCCATTAGGCCTACTTAAGTCAATATTTCAACAAACTAAGTTCAACATTTTCAAAACTAGTTCCAACAATCCAGAAATATCATATTCAATATTTTCTTTCGTAAGAAAAATATTGTATTCAACATTTTTCACCGTCTAGCTCAACATCTTGAAAAAACTATATTCAACATTTCGTTAGACAAGAATCACCATGTCAATTTTCTTTTGCCATCTTCTTCACCACGGTGACTGGCAGCGCGTGGGGAGCGCGCGTGGCGGCAGTACCTAGTCGGTGAGCCTGCGGGGAAGCAGGTGCGGGGCTAACTTGCGGGCCAGCATGCTCGCAGGCTATGCGCAGCGAGTCAAGCGGCACTAAAGCCAGTCACGAGCTCGGCGCGCAGGTGCATGGGGGCGTAGGGCGTGGCAGTGAGGCCGACGGTGATGGCCAGCAGCGCAAGAGCAGTGCACGCATTGAGGCGATGGTGTTGGCGGCCGGTGGGCAGGGAGCGGTGCTAGGGTTTGAGAAGGTCAGTGATGCATCCAACATGAGAGATTTTTTTTTGAGCATCAGTACAGACACAAGCGCTCATATACACGCGCATACACTCACCCCTATGAACGCACACACGCACACCCTACCCCTATGAGCACCTCCGAGAGACTGAGCCGGCATATAATCTTGAGATTTACGAAGTCACCGTAGGCGCCTCGTCGTCGACGGGAATGTCTCCTCCCACTGAAAGCGCATCGCCGGAAATCCTAAAATAAATCCAGGAATAATGTGAGCACCAGGATTTGAACCCTAGTGGGTTGGGGATACCACTGTCCACCTAACCATCTCAACCACAGGTTGGTTCGCTCCAACATGAGAGATTGGTTGCACGAATCAAGTGAAAGTTGGGTAATAAAAACTATCAGAAGCCATACTGGTTTCGCGGGGTTAACCTGGTAGCTACTGATCGCGTGCTGGCCCAAAGCAAATTCAGCCCACCTCGGGCGTGAACTGTGCTTCAGTCCCCGCTGGCCCAATGGAAATTGAGCCCACCTACGTTGGGTCCACTGGCGAACCCAAATTGTCACCTCCGTTCGTGGTGGCGGTGGTGGACGACAACTGCCAGGTCGGCTGGCTACCGTGTGCGCGTGGCGGGCGACGTGCACAGGTGTTTGCTTGCGGGCTATCAATTCCTTTTCTCGCCGACGCGTGCGTGCGCGGCTCACATATTGTCGTTCTTGAAGAGAGTCAGAGAAAATGAAGTGAATAGTTATCTGTATTGATCGGATGCCTGGGCTTTTATATTGCCTGAACAGGCGCTTACAATGTCGGTTACAGTGATATTGCGACTGTTCTAACAGTCCTGATGTCCTTTGGGTGGACACAGCGTTTGGACAACGCCAAGCTTGTTAACTGCCTACATAGCCTATGTCTAACGCTACATGCTAACTGCTGTTAACTGCTACTAACTGCTAATTGGTCTCTAACAGTTCTGTCTAAAATCAGGCCCACGTCGCCGCTTAAAAAAGAATTAACAATGATATGCCATGATACTTTTGAGAATATAACAGCTTAATTAATGTTTGGTCAAAAACTCTGTTCTCTCGGCCCTATATATCCATGAAAACCATCTTCGAGCTTTTAGTCCCTTAGCTTGTTTATTAAGGGCGACGGAATAAAAATTATTTGGGCAAAAGTCGTAGGAGAAGCGATCATATTCCTTATTTCATTGACTAGAACAACAAACAACTTCAGTTCACATCCATATATATCATTATCATATGGATGCCGTTTTATTCGTACATACGCATATACACAGTAGTAGTAATACACTCCGATCCGTAGCTGTAAACCAGCGATCCCTTTTCTAAAAAAGCTGTAAACCAGCGATATATACGATCAGGCCCATCCACTGACGACGCTGCTCCAGCGTGTCTTCTTGTCGGTGAACCTGTCCCAGACCATGACCCCGCCATAGTTGTTCGCCTTCTGCACCTTGGGCAGCAGGTCGTAGTACAGGTACTTGAGGTAAACGGCGACGGTGCCCTGCGCCCCCTCCGGCACGCCGCTCTCCGCCGGCGCGAGGCCCAGGTACACCTGCGTCCTCGGGAACGCCGCCGTCCACTTCTCCCACTGCTCTACCACGCCGTACGTCCCGCCCTTCCCCAGCGAGCATGAGTCGTTGCCGTAGAACCTGACGTGGATGCGCTCGAACAGCCCCGTCCGGAGCGCCGCCCCCAGGCGGGGGTCGGGCAACCCGCACCGCGGCGTCGCCGTCAGGCGCACACCCTTCCGGCCGCGGTAGAACCGGTTGTACCCATCAAGGCGGCTGGCCAGCTCGTCGTAGTGGTCGGGGGCGCCCTGGTCGATGTAGAAGTCGATGCCGTCGACGGCGGCGTCGCCGAACGGGCGGTACACGCCGTTCCGGCGCCCGCCGAGGTGCGCGTTCCAGAGGTTGTCGGCGACGGCTGCGGCGGAGGCCGAGGACGGGAGGAAGTAGCCGTTCCCGGGCCCGCCGATGGAGAGGAGAACGAGGATGTTCCTGGACTGGCAGTGCTTGATGTCGGCACCGACGCCGGCGAGAGGGTGGCCGGAGAGGTCGCCCCAGTAGCGGCCGTGCCCGAAGACGCTGTAGAAGGAGATGACGACGGTGGAGTAGAGCCCCGTGTCGCAGGCCTCGCGCAGCGTGCCCTCGCCGGCGTTCCGGCCCCAGAACACGGTCAGCTGGCCCGTCTGCTTCGCCTTGGCGGTGCCGGCGAGACAGGAGACCAGCACGAAGGCGATCACGAGCGGGTGGAGAGCGAGAGGGCGTCGGAACGCCATTGCGGAGGTTTGCAGTGAGATGGTTCTGGATGTTGTGTGATGGTGTAGGAACTTGAAGGCGTTGGGGAGGTCTATATATAGGGTTTGTTTTGGCACACGAGCTCATATATAGATGCAGCTAAGGTAGAAGTAGGTGATGTGTGTTTTCTTGTGCGCCGCGGAAGGCATGGGAAAACAGGGAGCTCGACTTTTCAGGATGAAGAAACAGGGGGAAGTGAGCGTGCACAGCGAATGCATATGCATGCATGGGCATGACTGTTATCGATCCATAGCTCGTCGCCGTCGTCATCCATGGATGGCTGTATGTGTATACAAGGGGTGGCTTTATTGTTTGAAGGTGCAGTGCAGGACAGCTAGCTAAGTAGAAAATGTCACTGCGCGTGTTCCTTTGGTCATAAACCAGATGCAAGACTCGTACATGCATGAACATGTAGGCTATAGCCTCTGCTAAAAGGTAGACCTAGCAAAACTTTCCGCTTAGTTGCTACATAGCTCCTGGTTGAAGGTGCTCTTGTATGCTGAGGTACGAGCTCAGTCAAAGATTAAAAGACACATCCTAAAGCTAGATACAATAGTTTTTTTTTTTAAAAAAGCTAGATAAAAATTAGACTGATGCGCCAAGGAACATTCCGGCAACGCAGAACCAGGCTTCCTATTTTACCATTTCTTCCTCCGGCGACGCATGCGGAATAGAGTCGCTCCCTGAGCAACGTTATCATACCACTGGCGACACGTGTTGTGCCCGTGACGGAGTCCTGTAGGATGGATGCCTGGATCGGACAAGTTACTTCTTTGTCAAATCGATCGATGACGCGTCCTTCGGAATCAGCAACTTTGCGTTATAACATATTTTTTTTGACTCTGCAAGGGCACGGAAATGGTCTGACGTACGTAAGATCGATGGCTATCACTATGTTAGCAACCAGATCGAGATAGAAGGGATCGGGAAGATGAACTAGGGGAAGGACGAGCCATGATTAGCTTTTTTTTGAGCGGTAAAGCAAAAGCTTTATTGATCATAAACCACATATGTGGGATACAACTCGTGTCATGGGGTTGAACAAGCCACATATGGCGTCCTTGATCTAAAGAAAACAAAAATCTAGCAAGTTTGTGTGCCTCTTTATTAACCAAACGACTCTCATGCATAAAAATGCTGGTGAAATTAGCAGCTCTGGCTCGGATCTCCTCTATGATGGCCCCATAGCGTCCTCTGCTGGCATTGTTCAGGTCATGTATTGCTTGTTTTTGCATCCGACGAGATAACAACGTTCTGCACTCCTAGATCCTCAGCCAATGCCAGAGCTTCCCGGCATGCAATGACTTCCAGTGTAGTTGGGTCCTGCATACCGTATATGAGCAGGGAGGAACACCCCATGTTATTCCCTTGGTTAGCTGAGGAAATTGTTTGTTCGTACAAAATGCTTGGCTTCCTTCCTCACAACTCACGCACGCAACCTTACATGGGCCTACTCCATTCTGGGCTCCGAGATACGCACGCTGGGAACAATGGGTCGGGTGGAACTGCGATGACCAGACTCTACTTCCTGTACTGAAGAAGTCATGCTGACATTCCCCCCCTTAGTGAACCTACTTGTCCCCAAGCAGGTGCCGCGGGAACAGGGGCAGAGCCAGGATTTGGGTATAGGAGGGGCCGAGCCAAGTTGGGAAAAAAAAAGTGCAACGCAAAAAATAAGTATCATGTAATAATGTGTTGTTTCAATGCAATTCAAACACAAATATATTTGTACTGTTACTAGTTTAATTTTTTTCCTACAATCACCAATAAATAAAAAATATTAATAATTTCATTCGAAGATAACCTAATTTCTAGTAATTTCCTATGAATGTATATCATCATGTAATTTCGGAGCACGTCATATTCCATTGGACTAGGATTGGTAAGCCGTGCATTAGCCTCATGCTGAAAAATCAAATCAAATTAATCTTTATGATGTTTGTCTGCGCTTTGCTCTTCATGATGAACTAACAAATCAAACAATCAAATGAAATTAAAAATGAACTAGAATCATTGACCTCGCCATCAAAATACTAAAATTTGATGTATAATTTCAACACGCACAAGACGAGAGTGAGAGGAATAGTACACCATAGTGCAAACCTTGGCGCTGGACCTCTAGAATATTTAAAGAGTGTAGTCTCGAGAATTTCCCAATCGCGGTGCTGGTGTTGCGTCGCGGCCGCGGCCGCCGCCGGACAAGACTTGTCTACTTCCCGCGCGTGTGCTCATCCGTGCTCCCACATACGCGGCTTGATTTGGATGAAACAAAATAAGGTCTGGCCCCACCCCTTAAAATCAGGAAGAAATGATTAGATTAGAAAGAAAAAAAGGAAAAAAAAACAGCCATAGAATGAAGTGGGAGCACATATGAGAGCATGGGGAAGGAGCAGGCAAGCCGGATCCGCCGCCGCCGCAAAGCTCTAGTTGCCTCAACCTTTTTTATGGGATCTAATCGCCTCAAGTCACACCTTAATCACGCCGTGGTTGACCTTTTTTAGGGTAAAATAAAGCCAGGAGTATACTAGGAACGGAGGAGGCCATGAATGGGCTTTCTTATGGGACTTTTTTCAGATTTTATTCTCTGTTTTAGCCATCGTTTCAGTTTTTTCGTTTCAGTTAAGGGGGGCCAACTACGTGTATTTCCTTGATCTAGCGCTAATTACTCATAGCCGCTGCAGG